ATAGTAGAAATCAATTACTAAGCTGAATCACACTAATTTAATATGAAAGAGCCTTAACAATTATTTTATAAAGGTATAATTTATTTCATTTGATCTTAGGAGTTGCTATATATAATTTAAATAGATATTAAGAAGCAATGGAATTCTACAATAAAGTTTTTTCATTAATCAAAAATCTGATGTGGCATTTAGTAAAATATAAGTAAATTAATTTATAATTGAGGTTTCTCATTAATTTTCAACTAAAATCGTTTGTTATTACCTACTTTAGTTAGCTTCAGTCTATATACATTATAAACAATCATTTAAATCTTATCTTTATTTCCTATAACACTCCACATACTATATCTCTAATCAAGCAGGCATTTTGACCTTATGAAAGAATTCTATAGAGATTCATCTTTGATACATTTTAATCTAAAATAATTCAAACATTACATATTGGACCTGAAACTAGAAAGGGAGATGGGCATTTTCATATATTACATCAAAATAAAGCTCATTAAGATATTAGCCTAATCCGAAAAAGGGTTTGGTTTAAGTCTTTCTAATTATTCATATTCTCTATTTTATGAATGCTTTCGTTATTAAATGAATTGGTGAGTTTCATCCATCCTGTAAGAGTATTATTAATAACTAGTCCAAAAATTTAATTAATTCATTCATTTTTGAATATAGAGATTAAAGGGCTATCAAAAAGACTTATCAATTGCCTTATTTCTTACCAAAGTTAAGTTAATTTTTTTTAATTTTTGGCTTCACTTAGCATCAATAATTCTATCAACGGAAGATTGTAGTAAGATTGATTGGAAGCCAAAGCATCTTTCATTGTAAATACATGATTTATTGCAAATAGAATTTGGAATTAGCTCTATGTTGGACATATTCACAAAAGAAACGCATATCTTACCCTTTAGTATAATTTTACTTGAATTCTTTATATTCTTCATTTATATTCAATCCTATAGGATAATTTTCACAAATTTTCAATTGAAATTCTCCATTCTAACAATAACATCCTTATTGTTAACTTCTCTTACATAATTTTTAATATTGTTATTGACTTTATATGAAATTCTTCAATATTAAGTCTACGAACTAAATGATAATGGAACATTATCTCTGTTCTGTCCATATATTTGTAATCTCATCCGTAACGGCAGCCCATATTTCAATAAATTTGTCCAATAAACATATTTATTTTAAGCTGAACCTGTAAATTATATGTTTTGAGTAAATAAGTAAAATTTTGTTATTTGAGTTCATATTTAACCTGCATTCCTTCTACTTTCACAAAACTCAATTCCATAATCTTAAGAAAATAGTTTTGGATAATTAAAGGTCTCATGTTATTAATCTCTACTATATTTGGGTTGTTTTGTAAAGTGGGATCAATTTCTATGATATCCAAAATTCAAATTATTTCCCCAACCAACGTTGAACAGAATTAAGTCTATTTTATTTTCTTCCTTGGATTGACTATTCTTGAAAAACCGTAAGGTGTTGATAGGAATAAGGTAGTATGAATTTCCTTTAATTAATTTAGATATATTCTTAAATAAATGGAATCTTTATGATGTTTTATTTAAAGATATAATTTATTAGACTAAAGGACTATTTCTATTACAAAAAAGTACTAGGTCTCTAATTATTCTAGTTAAAATTTAACAGAAGGTAAATTAAGAATTTTTTGATAATTCGCCATAGAAACAACTTTAATTTAGGTTTTAAATCGAAATGAATCTTTGACTATGAAACAAAAACATAAAGCTACAACTAGGTTCAACCCAACTCGCAATAACAAGGGAGAGAATGAATAGCCTAGATCTGTCTAAAATTTTGTTTAATCTTCTGAGATTTGTATTTTAACTTAGTTTGACAACTACATTCTCACCAAACCAAAAAGAGCAATGGAGACAGTTTCTATTATTAGGGTATCCTATCAATTCCTTATAATAAGGGGTGATTTAGATTAAAACTTAAAAGCGATTTTGAGCGCCAATCTCACCTTAATTAGGTTTTTACACAGAACGTTCTCCTCTAGCGAAAACTATGAAATGTTAAAGAACAACCAAATCTTTTTTAATAAATAAGATATTTGTTATACATCATCGCTACTAATAAAAAGTTGTTTTCAATATTTCAGTTTAAGTGTTTATGCTTATAAATTTGTTCTTAATGATAAATGTTTTTTAATTTGATTAAGATTTGCAAATACCCTAGATCCTAACACATTAGATGTGAATAACAACCTTTCAGACTAATAGTGTCATTTATTAATTTGACAAAATAATATTCTTTGCAACATAAAAGACGATGTGATAGTTTTCTAACTTGTTGGAAGGGGTAGGCATCCGAACCACCTACTAATAGGATGCAAGTTTTCATTTGAATATTCAACCTCTTTAAGAATTCTCGAGGACTAATTTGTTTAAGAATGAGATTATTTAGATTAGGATGAATCCATTAATATTATATAAATATTATATTTGTATATATATTTTAACATTACCTATTTTTAATAGTTATCATTACATATTAAAACCAAAATATTAAAACGACTATTTTGAACAAATAGCATTATGGATTTTTACTACTTTTTGTATTCTGTTAAACTACAAAAAGTGTTCTATTTATTCATAATCCTCAAACGTATACATTTTATTCTAAAAGGAAAAATATTGTACTTAGCAAACCGTCTGATTATACAGCATAAAACATGCATTGAGCACTTAGATTCTATCTGCTGCCATCTGGTAATATAAGTAGAAGCATCCTTAACGATGTAGGTATCGAAGACACATCTAATTCAGTCTATAAATGCAAGGCTCTTACATTTTATAGAATACCATAGTTGTTCTAGTTATCAATACAGCTAGCACGGAGAAAAAGACATCATTAATTGTACTCTGCTGGTGTGAGCCTCTTAGATGTTTTTAATCTTCAGTGCGGAGAATAGCAACTCTGATTTTTTGCTTTTTGTTCTAATTTGTCATTCTAAGCTCCTGTTTAGGATTTATAATTATGACACAATTTGAATGTACATATGTTATCCTAAAATTAGTATAATTGTTGCAATAACTAGTTTGATGCTAAATTAAGAGATAGAATTGTTATTATACATGTGCTGAAATAAGTGGAAGTAGTATCTAAGTACTATCACTCAAAATGGATATTGATGGGATAGATATTTTCACTAACCGAAATTATTTCTTCTGGTTTCTCTTTTTCAAATCACTAAAATTGAGCATAGGATCATGTGAATAGTGTATGAAATTATGTAGATGACATTTCTGATATTGCATAATTTACTAAGGAAAATCAAGTGTAAAAGAGATTTACTGAGTGCTATGCGCTTGTAAAATATTATTCTTATAATAGAATAACATGCTGCTCACTAGATGTTCTTTCTATCTGCACGACTGTGTCGTGCTTCCTTTTTTCAAAATCATGTCAATATCATACTTTGTTATCATTATACTTGAGTACTTTGAGTTTGATTGAAAAATCCATCTCTTATTTCCACAACGAAGAGGTTACTTTTAATAAAGATATCAAAGCTTGCAACTTAAATTTCAGAATTCCTTTTTCCTGTTCTCAGCCTATTTAACCCTTGTCATCATCTACACAAAACCAGAAATTTGTAGATACACCCGACGAATGAGAGAAGTTGACTAATCGATTCTGTAGAATTATCAAGAAAAAAACACTAAACAAGAGTTATAATTGTAATACCGAAACTTCTAAGAATTAATTGCAAATTGATTTTGTTCCATAACATCACTCCAATTTGAAAATTTATCATTAAGTTCTTAAACTAAATATGTTTGAGATCTCTTTGAAATCGATGAACACTCATTTTAAATAACCTTATCTAGTATTTTATTTGATTTTGGTAAAGTTATGATAATTTTCTAGAAATTGCGCAACAATTAATAGAAAAACAGAGTTTCTGATAGAAGATGTATTCTTTTAAATCTCAATAAAATAAAGATATACAAATTACAAAGAATTGATAATGGATTGACTTAATTATGAGTTAGTTGTTTAAAAGTATCAAATTACAAATAATAACTTTTCTTTGATGTACTAATTAGGACAATTTGACTAAAAATTTCAACTAAAATATAATGTTGTTAAAAAAACAGTATTATAAAAGAGAAAAAATTATGTAAAGAACATATAAAATTTTTGAGTCTAAATTTCATTCTTAACTTAATTACCTAATGCCCCAAGAATTTGAAATTAGTTCTTTCCATTTGCCTTCCTTATTCCCTTTTTCTGAATATAGTTCGATAAAGATTTCAATTTCGTTTTACTTTCCACCAACAATTTCACCTTTCCATTGAGGAACCAACTTTCTAGTTATTTTATCTATATTTCCAGACAAGCTTAGATGCCGGATTTAATCTAAATTAGTTAAAACTTTAGGTATTTTTGAACTATCTTGTACTTAATCAATACTTTATAGTAATTATTAATGAACTCTTACATCCTTAATATTATTTCATTTCTTAAAATTAGATTTCAAAATTCTAAGTATACTTGATTTAGAATTTGGTATAAATGAACCCTCTCTGATCCTCTTTCCAAATTTTTCCTTGATATTCATATTTTCCCACTTTGACTTCTTCATTTAAGTTCTATCCTTCTTTACAGTCTCTACAATAGACTTATGCATACTTCTTTAAGGATTCTTAAACGTTTTAAGCCTTAGGAGAATGTTTGAAAGTTTTATCTTATAACATGTAATTGTATTATTTAAATTAAGATACTTAATGACTAATATCCACTGTTTTCACATTGAATTACAGCAATAATAATGGAAATACGTTAGAAAAAATATCGCATACTTTTGAGTTGAAAAATCTGATTTATTCTTAGAATCTTAAGGATTTTTGGAAAAAAAGCCCACTAATGTATGTCTCATTTTGAATCAATCCGTTATTGTTGGAATCATCAGGTATTATTTCTAAATTACAAAAAATCAAATTAAATGTTTTGAATGTTTGATTACAACATCTTAAATTATCAAAAAATGTTTTTGCCAAATTCACATCAACAATAGGAATTACCGTATAAAATTTAATACGTAATAGAATAATTAGAATTGACATCGTAATAGCTTATTTTTGTTTAAGTAAAGCAAGTGAGCAACTACAGAAAATGTTCTTCAAATACTTAAAAATAAAAATTTTATTAAGCTATTCTATGTTTAAATTTTTACAAAGCTATGCAATTTAATTAAAAAATTAATCGCATGATAAATTTGAAGAATCATTAATGAAATTAAATCAATTGAATAAAATAATTTTATTTTAAGGAATAAAGCTAATAGCTTTTGTAATATAAATTTACATACAACGCTTTCGTGTTAAATGTATGAGAAGCTAAAAAAATTTTGCTTATGGGATGAGGTGCATAATTTTTTTAATATATAAATAATTATCAATACATTTGCTTAATTAACCTAAAAAGAGTTGTATTTTGTGCTTCTAAATATAATTTAGTTAAATTTATAATTCAAATAGCAATACAAATAAAATATGAAATATCCCATTTTCTTCCTTTATTTAAAAATATTAAAAGTTTAATGGAATGAACAATTAAATGCCTTGTAGTTTCAAGAATTATACCCTATTACATGCCTTGTGCCTTTACCTTCTCCAACTCCTTTCACCTAATTTGTATTTTTTCTAACGATCCCGGCGATATTACTACATTAGAGACAGCAAGTTGCTTGTAATCTAATATTTTAGTAAAAATCCATATAGTAAAATCATGTGATATAATACAAGTTTAAGAAAAGCTATCACTATCAAAATATCAATGAAAAGGTTTGAGGAAAGTAAATCTATAATTGTATGAAAAATAGAAACCTGAAATAAATAAATTGATTTATCTAGAAGTTGAATTATTAATGCAAAAGTGCTATTATATTAGCGTTTTAACTTTGAAATCCTATGGATTGTGCGGCATTGTTAATGATCTTCTTTGCTTTTTAATTTTCCTTTCTTAAAGAAATATACTATACACAAGTTGATGTGAGTTGTCACTATGATATTTTAGATTAAATACTAATTTTAGAAAGTTTGGTTTTTTTTCCAAAAAATATCGACAAGATACTTTTGATTTATAATATTTAACCCTAAATAATATAATTGAAATTCAATATTAATTTTAAATAACAAAAATGAAATGTTAAAATGATTAGAATGAAGACATATATGTGCTTTTGGCTTAATCTATAGAAATTAATGAATCAACCTTCCAAATTCTCAGTTAGATACTCCAAAGAGAGAAAATTTAAGACAGTCTAGAGTTTCTCTCATCATGTCAAAATCAAAGGAAAGTCGAATTGGAAATATTATAGGTAAATAATCCTTCACTTTTAATTAGGAATAAAGGCTTAATGTTGAAAAGAATGACGTTAAGAAAATAACAAATTTTCTATGTCATATTAAAGATCATGAGTTTAATAAAGTAAATTATTCTAAAAAAGAATACAAAAAAGTGAAAGAAAACCTGATCACAAATATATCAAATAATAAGAAGATCATAGAACTTCTAAAATTTTTAGTTCATCTTACTGCCGTAGATTAGCAATACATATAGTGTGGATCAAATTCTCTTCATTTATTAGTTGAAATGAAAGCTGAATTGAACACACAATCTTTTGAAAATATTAAAATTAAAAATACTTCACTTTAAGGAGCTAACTTTATCAGATGCAACTTTAGTGGATCTGAGTTTGACAACGTCTGTATAAGTGGAATTAATATAAGTGAAGCCAAACTATTTAATTGTAAATGGAAGAATATAAGTATAAATGAGGAAATTAAGTTAAATGGCCATCGAAATTGTGTCAATTCAGTTTGCTTTTCTCCAGATGGCAATTCATTAGCTTCAAGTAGTGATGATAATTTCATTCTTTGGTGGGATTTGAAAACAGGGAAAATCAAGTCTGCATTTTAGAGACAAAGGGAGGTAAAATAAGTCTGTTTCTCACCTAATGGTGATACATTAGCTTCTTGCAATGGAAAATTTATTTATTTGTGGAATTATAAAACAGGGAAATAAATATCGAAATTAATTCGTCATGTTAGTGATATTTAATCAGTCTGTTTCTCTCCTGATGGAACTACATTAGGATCAGGGAGCTAAGATATGTCTATACGTTTGTGGGATGTTAAGATAAGATAATAAAAAGCCAAATTAGATGGTTATCGTGATTCAGTTCAATCTGTTTGTTTCTCTTCTGATGGCAATACGATAGCTTCTTGTAGTTTGGATATGTATATCTGTTTATGGGATTTTAAGACAGGTTACTAAAAGTCTAAATTAAGAGGTCATGAGGATGGTGTTAATACAGTCTGTTTTTCCTCTGATGGTACAACATTAGCATCTGGTAGTAGAGATTGAGATTACTCTATCATTTTATGGGATGTTATGACAGGATAATAAAAAGGAAAACTAGATGGTCATCGTGATTCAGTTGAATCAGTCTGTTTCTCTCCTGATGGTACTACATTAGCGTCTGGTAGTTATTAAGAAATCATTATATGGGATTCTAAGATACAATAATTAAAAGTCAAATTAGATGGTCATACAAGCACTGTATAATCTGTCTGCTTCTCTCCTAATGGTACTACATTAGCATCGGGTAGCTATGATAAATCTATCCGATTGTGGAATGTTAAGACATAATATTAAAAGTTTGAATTCAATGGTCATAGTGATTATGTTCATTCTGTCTGTTTCTCTCCTGAAGGTAATACATTAGCATCAGGTAGTGCAGATAACTCTATCCGTTTATGGGATGTTAAGAAAGGATATTAAAAAGCAAAATTAGATAATCATTCTAGTGCTGTATGGTCAGTCTGTTTTTCTCCTGATGGTACTACATTAGCATCTGGTAGTAACGATAAGTCTATCAATTTATGGGATGTAAAGACAGGATAATTAAAAGCCAAATTATATGGCCATAGTGATGATGTTCGATCAAGTTGTTTCTCTTTTGATGGTTCTAAACTAGCATCTGGTGGTGGAAATTCATTTGGTTTCCACGATAACTCTATTCGTATATGGGATGTTAAGACAAGATAATGCGAAGCTAAATTTGATGGCCATAATGAACGAATTAGGTCAGCATGCTTCCCTTCTGATGTTACTACATTAGCATATTGTAGTAATGATTACGCTACCCATTTATCTATTTTGAAACCAGTACAACAAATCTTACCTTCAGATAATCATCACACAAAAATTCTAGATAGTGGTATTTATTTTATTCAAGTAATTAGCTGCCTCTTATATTACTATTCTTCTAATATCCCAATAATTAATATTTTAATCTTAAGGGGCTTTAATTTTTAAAGGGGAATTTTTAAGTCAAATAGGCATAGACCTTTGGATATTATTTAAACAAGAGGAAGTTTTATTTTGGTAGATTGCAAAGGATTATAATAAAAATGATTATCATAAAAAAGCCATAAAAATGTTCAATATCGATTAGGTTTTTCAAATTTTTGTTTTTATTACACAAAATATTTCATCACTCACAAGAGTTTTGGGTTTCTAAAGGTTATTTCCAAAATTTTCTTATTATATGTGATAATGAATTTCATCATCAATAATGGCAACAGGAAAGCAGCTAAAGATTTGAATGAAGGTTTCTTTTTACTAAAAGTAGGTAATAATTTAGAATTTATTAAAAGAGGTTAAGTTGTTATCTATTTAAACATGAATTTCCCAAAGGATATCATATAAAAATCTTAGGCTGGCTAGTAAATGATACAATAGAATGGGATATCATATGATACGAAGGTAAAAGATGAAAAGAAATAGATGATGACAGCTTAGGAAATGAGGAAAATTAGCTGGCGATGATTAACATGATTGAATTATAGAAGGAGGGATCTGAGAAAAAAAAGCTTGATTAGGCTAAATATGAAGGTAATCTGGAAAAATATCTCCTTCATTTAAAAGTTAATACCCTTAGAAGAAAATCCCTGGATATGAATAAGTAAAATTTTGTGAATATGGATGGAAAATATACGAGACAATTAGGAAATAATCAAGTTGGAACACATCAAACACATATTCACTGTCCCGCAGGAAATTGCTTTGAGAAAATAGAAAGGATTAATAACTGCATAGATGGGAAATAGTCTACAAGAATCCATGAAAAAGATTAGTAAAAGGACTCAATTGAACATTCAAAGTTATTAATTTATTAAAAATCAAAAACGGTATATCATTATTATTATAATATTTATATTGATACTGAAATAGTGGGCAAAATTTTCCAAAGTATTACTCGGCAATATATATGCTCTATTCAGATGTATTGTACTTGTCAATAACTAATTAAAAATATGAAGATCCTTATAGAAGGATGAAATTATAAAAAAGAGAGAAAGAACTTCATGGAATGTATGAGGACCAAAAGGAAGAATGCTGGAGTAAATGAATGATAATCTTTGTAAAGATTTGCTATAGTTATCAAAAAGATGACTTTTTAAAACAATTAAGATTGAGGATATGTGGATTATGAAAAGATTGACAGTAATTTTCGAAATTGCCCTAAAATGCTAATCATAAATATATCAGTTTGGCAAAGAATACGATTGAAACTCAATCGGAAATTTTAACTGAATATTCTTCTTTGAAATTATATGAAGAAGGTTCTATTTCATTTATCAAAATTGTTGAAATTTTTGTTCATATTTCACTAATAAAAATAAGTAAACCAAATAAAACCAGATATTTGATATAGTAATACCAATGTACTAATTAAATTATTTAAATTCAATATAAGCACAATTCTGGTGAAAGCCAGTAGTTATCAGATAACAAATCTATCATTTTATCTTTCCTCAAGATCATAGCATAAAATTATTTCCTCTTATCTAAAGATTAAGAAACAGAAGAGCATACAATCACTTCATTAATTGCAATCTTAACCATCCCCTTATGTTTAAGAATCTCATTTTTTATGGACAGATATATTCCTCAATGGTATCTTCTACTTCTTTATAATCCATACATCTGAAGATTCATATAAGAAATCAGAAATAGAAATCAGTCCTTTTTGTTATTTTCAAGTGCATCTAAACGATTTTTCTTTAGTTCCCATAAATTTCTTATCTTAGTTTATCTTCTTCTTTATTTCAGTGAAAATTAATATCCTTTTAATAATATAATCCAGTTCTCGAGAATTGCATGATATA